GTGAGATTAAGCAAAAAAATTAAATTCTCTTTATGGTACTCTGAGAAAAACTAGGTTGAAACTGAAAGATCCATACACAAATGTTAGCTTTAGGGGAAAAATAATAAAACAAAGACACACTGGTACCACAAAATGGATTTTTTTCTGGTACCACAAAATGGATTTTCTTCTCAAATTAAAATGCTTATACCAATTAAATTATATCCTGTAATCATTAAAATGTCAGAAATTGAACTCAGAAATAGATGAATATGATATGAAGGCTCCTGGTAGGAAAATATCCTGAGTTAAATTTGCCTCAACATTTCAAAAAATTTAAGAAACTCTTAGAGTCTGTCACAACACATTAGCACTTGCTATTAAAGTACTATGTACATTTTCCATTCCTTGAAAAGAAATAAATCAAAAACAAATTTCATCTTAAGTAATCATTGGAGTCCTTTATTTAAAGCACCGTAGATGAAAAAAGTTACTGTTTGATTTGTTTATTTGAGTGTTTGCTTTGGTTTTCTTCAAAAGACTTTTATCCCCTTCTTAGCTAATTTTAAGATTCCAATATTCACAGCATGTCATAATTAAACATCTCCTAGGAAGTGCACAGTCTGATTAGCACATTAACTCAGGCATAAACCAGCCGTGACCATGTTGCCTCCAGCCTGGGTCAAACTAGTCTGGGAAAAAACAATTCCGGTGAAAATTCCTACTAAGACATATTAAGTCCCAAGACTATTTTATCTTCCATCATTTAAGATCTTCTTTTCCCTAGCAGTTCTTATGTAATTGTTTAACCCTTAACTGTGGTCTGAGAACAGTCACTTAGCCTATTAGGAATAAAAATGATAACTGTAGTTCTGAGGATTAAATAATTTTAGCATTTTTTTCAAAGGCTCCCACCTCCCAGAAAGCAAATAAGATTAAGTCAGAAATATGCTTACAGTTACATACCAATTACTAGAGCCCACAAGCTCCCATTCAAAATTAACTCCTGTTCAGGAAAGGAGGAGTCAGAGGACTACCCATATCCTGATTTCTTTTTATGTGGCTGATTGGTGGCTAGTTGTTTGCCTTAAAGCAAAATGATGAATGCATTTGGCCATGAGGTAATAAAATCTCCCCATGGCCAGCATGTGTACTGTCCAAAATGGTAGCCACTCACCACGTGTGGCTACTGAGCATGTGAGATGTGTCCCAAGCCACCAAGGAACTGGATTTTTACGTTCGTTAATCTTACTAATTTAAATGGAAAAAACTGATATTTACTTATGTCAGTGGAAAATCTTTATATCTGGAACAACTTGGATATCTTACAGATGAAAGAGTGAATCCACTTTTTCATCTATAAAAATTTTATGAAACTTAAAGACAGACCAAGTAATTCTAATGAAAATTCAGTGGCTGAGTTGTGATGTACATAAGTGGAAAATATACACTATATTTGAAAGAATAGGCAAAAATAATGTAAAATATCTCATTAATAATCTTTAAAAGTACTGACCATATGTTGAATGCTTCAATCTATTACAATACCTTGGATATATTATTTTAAATAAAATACATTAAAGTTAATGCCACTGGTTCTTACTCTTTTGAAGTACTACCAGGAAATTTTAAGTTTAATAATATGAGTCACATTATATATTTTAAGTTATATATAATTTTAAGTTATATATCTGTCAGGCACAGCACTGATAAAGACCAATACTAACCAGTGACATGACTGAGATGGGCCAGGGAAGTGGTTTAGAAAATCTGTGCAGTATGGAAAAAAAAAGCAAAAGGCCAGATAGCACTGCATTTAAATCCTAACTTTGACACTGACCATCCAAACGGATTTGAGCAGCCATTCATTCAGATTCCTCAGCCTATACTTCCCCAGGTGCAAAGGGGAAGGATAGTTTCCTAGTTAAACAGAATATTTTTAAAGTGACTAGTATACCATCAGTTTAAATAAACAGCCAAATAAATTGTTTTTCAATAGAAACCAGAGATTTTTAGACTACCGCGAATAATTTACTGCTTCTCAATGTCTAGGTCCTCCTGCAAATGAGCTATATCCTGTGGACACGTTCTTCCTGTAATATTACTCCAACTTTATTATTACCTTACATTTTACAGATGAATAATGACAACCTGAGACTAAATGCTATTATCAAAATGTTCAACAAATGGAAGCTTTGTTTTCATAGTGTTTTAAAGTGGTAGCAATCAAGTTCATTTCCAGAAATACCATCATGATTTTTATGAACTTAAAATTTACCTAAAAGAGACTTACCAGAATACCTATGTCCATTTCAGGATTTCTATCATGGTGGGACCATCTTCTTGTGAATGTTTGGTAGGCTCTAAGAAAAACTGCTCTAAGGCATAAAGTTCATACTATACATTTATTAAATATGTAAAATGTGGGAGTCTACAATATTTATTTTAAAAATTAATTATATCTCATTGTTCTGCTGTATTTCTTTAAATACAAAAAAATGCTTGCAAATTCTTTTACTATGAAACAGTACCACAATCATCAGAAGATTAGGAAGGATAAGGCTAAGACAAATAAAATTAAATACTCCTTCATTAAGCAAATAGTCAAATTATAGATAGAATTCCTTCGTCACTAAAATGACAGATATCTATTCCAAATGGTGTAGATAAACTGATGACTGAAAAATTCATATAAGTGATTAATGAAAAGACATGTGGAAGTCATCTTTCTTCTTTAGTCATGATGTCAAGAAGAAAAGCTGTCCCCTTCCACAGTTATTCTTCATAAAATATGGATTCCTAACTACAAGGTTAAGGCTCGACTAACTGTGATGATTCTTATGTTTCAATGAAAGCTAATTTACAATGACCCTGCTTTTCTTCAATCTGCTTCTTGCACATTTTACTCACAGTCTTCCATTTATTCCTTTTATTATTTTTTTGTCTTCATTCATCTGATCAATATTTATTGATCCCCTGCTTAATGCCAGGCCTATATTCTGTGGGCCTCACCACTGAACCTCACTAGCTTATCATCTTATTCAAACAAAACCACTAAAGTGGGATGATGTATAGAGAGGTGAAACATATAATTTAATTAGTTGGGTTGTGCACGTGCGTGTGTGTGTGTATGTATTCTTCATATTTGACTTGCCACCAAAATATATTTGAAGTTGTTACACAGCATCCAAACTAATAAAAAATTAACTTGTTGTTTTCCAACATAATTATTTTTTAAGTAAATTATAATTTTAGTTTATAATATGTGATAAAGCTGAAATTCCAAGTTCAAGTATGTCTTTCCAAGTTGTCTAGTCTTAGATTTTATATTATTACATCTATGTCCTGATCAAAATTCACCATTTTCCAAGGCAAAGTTTGTCATGGTAACTCTCAAGAGTTTTCTCCAAGTTGTTCATCAAGTAATATAATGAATAGGTCAGATCTATGTTGCACTGGAAAACCTCCTGTTTGCTAATTTACACCCAAGGGGGATTTCTAGGAAACAAAGTAACATGATAGACCAGTAAACTTTCATGCATTTCTTAGAGAAAAAAAAATTTAACTTGCTTATTGAACTACAAGTATTTATTTGCTGGAGCTTCCATTAGATTATAAGCAACTTGAAGACAGAGGGGAGAAGTTACTTTTTATATGCCCATTTGAAAAGTAAAGGTTTCATGACCGTTTTCTGTATGGCTGAACGGAGGGTTGGTAGGATGAAAGAAAGAAATGTTCAGATTTAGGAATTGAATCTTTGCAACTATTTTTATCAATCCATTTAAAACACAGATGTTAGGTGATGTAGGCTCCTCAAATCGTAACAAACGTACCACTCCGGTGGGTGATATTGATCATGGGAGAGGCTACGCATGTGTGGGGATAGGAGAACAAACAGGAAATCTGTGCCTTCCCCTCAATTTTACTGTGAACTCTAAATAGCTCTAAAAAAAATCTTTTAAAAAGTTATTAAACTTTAAAAATACCAACTGTGTGAACAACAGATAATGAAAACAGTGCTTTACTCTATAAAATAAAATATAAATGAATTAGTTCAGCCTCAATTTATCACAATCTTAATATGTGTCAAGCACTACTATAAAAGCTGAGGTTTAAAGAGAAATAAGATTTTAACTATAAAAACAGGAAATTGAAGACTGGTTCCACTGAATTCATCTGAACTAATCGTAATTGTAAACATTCATTAAACCATGAAAAAGAAAACGATGCAGCTCCTATTCAGAATGCATTTTCTTCTCCAATGAAAAGGAATGACAAAATCTGCTTTTTCGTATGCCCTAGGATTTTTCAATGTCTTATACTTGTTGTTTGTTTCTTAGAAAAAGCTATCTCCTTATACAAAGTACAATGTGCTCAGTGATACCACTTTTGTTCAGGAGACAAGTAGGAAGGGGAAGGAGAGGAAGAATGAAAGCAGAAACATCATGGAATACAAAAAAAAAAAAAAAATTGACATATGAGACAAATCAGAGCAAAATTTTGCACAATATCGTTCTCCTATTAGACCAGAACACCGGAACAATAATCAGCCACTAACCTAGGGCAACCATTTGAGAAATGCCCAAGAATGAATAACTGTCTTAGATACATACTGTGTGAGAACTGACAGTAAAAGGAAGCAGTGCAGAAATTCTCTGGATAAGCTGATGGGCAAGCTGAAGACCTGATTAGTCAGAATGAAAAGCCTGTCATCGGTTGGTCCCTTAAGTGAAGGAGACCCTTCAGGGCACTTTGCAGCTGGCAAGAAGTAACAACTTTTCCCAGGTATTACTAGCCTAACAGTTCTCTTTATAAGATTATTTTGGCTCTTAAAAGAGTCATCATTGTAACTTCCACGAGTGTAAATGATAAATCATTAAAATTGACCACTTTGGAGACTAACAAACGCTCCTGAACAACCCACCGAATGTTTTTTCAATAAATAGAAAAACTGCCCAAGTCTTGTAGCATCGTCTGCCCACCTTATAGCCACTCCACCAGGTCACCCAAGGCCCACTTACCCCCAGCATCTGGTGGAGGTAGTGATACTCCGGCCCTTGGTTATACAGCAGAAAGGTTTTCCAGAAAAGCAGGACATTCAGGGAGAGCCAGACAAGCTAAATCATGTGGAGAAAGAGAAAAAAAGAATTAAAAGTAAGTCCTACCCGATGAATGGAAACCTCAAATACATTCGTCGGACACAATACACAATTGAGGTTCAATGGAACCTCAATTAGTCGTTGCAAAAAGCTTTCTCAATTGACCAGCAAGCTGCAAAGCACTCAGAGGTAAACGTATCTGACCTCACTCAGCCCCGATACACCTAAGATTAAGTATTTGGGCTGCAACAGGTATCCTAAAGATCGCAGATATCCCCTGGAGGACAAAACAAGACGAAATGATGAGTGACATCACCAAGTCCCAAGCATTGTATGCTTAAGCTTTAAAAATATCCACTGAATGAAGAATAGATAATAAGAGGGCTTTGCTGTATAAAATAAAATCCGACAGAAACAATCTGGGAAAAGAGCAAAGGGGGAGGGGGGTGGTGGTGAAGATGTTTAAGAGGTTAAAGAAAAAGCTATGTTAACTAACTGGGATCTCCCTTCCTCCGCATCCACTCTCGCATCAAAGTGTAGGCAAGTTCCCGAGGGCTTGGAGGAAGGGAGGGAGGAGATGGTTATTATGTCCAGGTATTCCCGCAGAAAGTTTGTGTTAGTGGAGGATGTTTTGCACTAAAGGCAAAACTTCCAGCTTCCCACCCGCGCTCGCTCAGAGAATGAATCAAGATCGCTGCCCCAGAAACAAGACGCCGGGAGACCCTCGCCCGCCATCCTACCAGGCAGAGGTGTTTAACCCCTTCGTTGGCCAGCCAGCTCCTCCAGGACACGGCCATGCCGCCGGCCCGCGCGCCGCGCTCTCACCCCGCCGGCCGACAAGCAGCGGCGACCGCGGGCGCAGCGGCTCCAGCGGCGCGGCCCGCGGGGGGGCCGGGGGACCGGGAGGGGACGGAGGGTCAAAGACCGAGTGGGAGCCCGGGGCCGGCGCCGCGCCAGCCCGGGCGGGGTCTGCGCCCGGAGC